TTGAGTGTTTATCCCAAATTTGTAGGAGGAGATACATTTGGCGCGAAGCTATACAAAAATCAGTTTTTTGGCTGTTGCTATGGCAACGGTGGTCCAAAAATTTTTTTCAGATTTTTCCTTATAACTAGGGTTAAGGTGTGACCTACCTGCCAAGTTTGAACGAAATCGGCCAAGCCAAAAAAGTCACAGAAGAAATAATACGTGAACACTGGAACACTGGAAATGTACACACACAGACACACACACACACAAAACGACAAAAGTGATTATAAGGGCAATCCTAGCGGAGCGGATCGCCAATAGAATGGTGGTATTGTACATATGTATCTCATATTCATAGGAATGCACACGATTCAATACACAACACTCACAAAAGTGCCAGTAAAATTGTGCATGTATCAGGGTTTTTTCTAGAAAAAAACTGCAAGAGGGAGCACTGCAATTCAGCGGCACCACCAAGTGGGGAGATAGGATTCTCCCAACCAGGGTGTTGAGTTTTTGATAATTCTAAGTTAAAATGGAGCATTCTGTGCCAGAATTACTGTCAGACATGTGATCACTAGTCAATCAGAATTTTATAATTGCCAAGGAATCTGCTCCCCGGGGTAAGGGCCGAATGGCCATAGCATGAGGGCGCTGCGCCTCTGTTTCTTTGTTTAAAAAATCTCTGCATGTACTATGGTACATACAGTATCATACATTGTTCTCTTCTCAATGAGAGCTGGGTTGAAGTTGGGTTAAACTGCTAATTAAATTGAAGTTACTAAATGTGGACATTCAACAAAAACTAAAATATAGGTTGCCCGTAACCGAAGTTCTGTTAATTGAACACCGAGTTACAATTTGGACGTGGTTTCGCAGAAGTGGGCGTGGTTAATGAAATATTGGCGTGATTTGCATAACTCAACAATTCAGCATCTCCTAATTAACATTACGATTAAGAGGTGTTAATTGTTATTTTCAGGATGCACGGTATTTGAATGACCGTTGAATGAATGTTGATCAAGATGGCATGATCATTCCCTTGTTTTTGTGAACTTTGTGTTGTATGTATACAAGGCCAACTGCCTACATAGCTTGACAGGGGTCGCGTGAGTTGCGCCCTCCGCAATGCTCCAAACCCAACACAGTCAGTGAGGTCTGATGCCGTTCGGCCGGCGAGAGCCTACTCACTGTAATGAAATATGAATGAATGTAAAGTTACGAGAATACCTCAAAGTATGCACGAAGACAGTACAGCTGGAGTATCGACCGACGCGCAGCATCTTTTCCTTCCAAGGATACACTATGGGAATGTCCGGTCAAACTCTGGTGGCAGCCATGTCTGTTTTTATTATTAGAGGACGCTTACGCGCGTAATCGTTCCATATTTGGAATTCGCATTTCCTAATATGGTAGGATGAAAATACCCCGTAAAATACTGCCAAATTACGGCACGCTGTAACGTATGGCGTTACGGTGACAGATGTATAATAATATGTGATATTTATTTGTAGTGTTATAGAAATGAATGGTGGGTTTTAAGTCAGTGATACTGATAGACTAGGAACCAATTGCAAATGCTCATTGTATTTTGTAACTAGTTTATTGAAATGGTGTACACTGTATATCTCATATTTGCCATCCAGGCGCAATTCTTGTGAGAGAAATATTGTCATGCTTTTTTTTCAGTCCGCATTGAATATGGGTGGCAAAGTTAATGATGGAGAGGAGTTTACTTTTCAGTGAATGATTAGTTTTAGTGGATTGGGTCACCGTAATAAAGAAAAGAGAAGACAGTTGCTGAAATAATATCTTTGCAAACTTTCTCTGGGAAAGAGCGACGGCACCTTGCCAGACGCGATAAGTGGAAACAACAAGCCCGTCGAAAATAAGACACATGGTTAGACCATGAGCAATATGATACGATCAATTATAATTATTCGAAATCATAACACACTTGAACGACATCCCAATATGTTGTCATTGAATTTACAAGTAGAAGAACACAAAACAAATGACTAAAAATCGACAAGGACAAAGCGAAACAACAAGTAAACAAGAGAAAGACGTATCGATCATATAGTGCACAGTCAACTGGCATCGGCGTGCCTGGGTGTATATGATATACACCCAGCGACACCGATGCCAGCTGATAGCACATATCATGGTGGTACATGATAATATGAAAATGCCAGGAGTTTCGAAAGAGCATACCCATTCTGCTCCATTTGTACACCAGTCGTTAATCATTCTCAGTCATATTCTTTATTCATTAGTTATTCGATGACGTCTACATATATTTACTTCGGACTTTGAGAAGAGAAAAAAATCACACAAAAATACAAATAAGCAAACTAAGCACTAATACATACTAAAACACGACGGTAGTTCTCTTTCTGAAGGATGTGGTGGCCCTGAAAAGGGCCGTTTGGTTTGTGTGTGCCGTGCACACTGGTTTACTTTTTCTTGGGCAGAAGTACCGCCTGAATATTTGGCAGTACACCACCCTGTGCGATGGTGACACCAGCCATCAGCCTGTTCAGTTCTTCGTCATTTCGTACTGCAAGTTGAACATGGCGAGGATTGATTCTCGTCTTCTTGTTGTCACGGGCGGCATTTCCAGCTAACTCGAGGATTTCAGCAGCTAAATATTCGAGCACAGCTGCCATGTAGACAGGGGCACCAGCGCCAATACGATTGGCGTAGTTACCTTTACGCAAGTAGCGATGACAACGGCCGACAGGGAACTGCAAACCAGCACGGGCGGAACGAGTCTTAGACTTGCCGCCCTTCTTCCCTTTACCACCTTTACCACGACCAGACATTGTAGATTAAATCTGTATGAATCTGAAGAATCAACAACCAGTATTGATGATGGCGCGAAACGAGGCGCTTTTTATAGTTGCCGTGCGGATTCCACGCGCTGGCAGCTTGTTTCATCAGCACCAATCAGAACAGTAACATTGTGTTGCTTCAACATGCGATGTGTTCTCTCACGTTCGCAATCTTCGAAAATTAAAACAGAATCCTTAATTTACATAATATTTGTAACAAAGTGGCGAATCACATTATTGCGTCTACATTTCATTCGTAAAAAGCCCGTCGTCGGTTGTACTTCTGCACATACGAGCTGACTCAAATTCGTGAAAACGAAAGACAAATTGGTTTTCCTATAATGCCGAAGCGGGCAGTTGCGGTGGACGGCTGCCTCCCACGGTTATGCTGACCGCAGCTTCACTGCTAGCCCTGCGTACACAGTTATGTGTGTACGAGGACGCATTTGGTTGATATACGTCGCCCACCACAGCCCTGCGTACCCCATTAGACATGATTAGACAATGTCAGGGAGCGCACCGGAGTTGGTGTGCAAGTTAAAAATACTAGTAAGTAGTTTCCCAGCCGAAATCGGTTGAAATGACGATAGTTATCCGTAACAACCATTACAAAATTTTCTGAAACTGAAATGTCTCAAAAACACCACTAGTAAAGACCAAACGCCACCATCACCAGTCCCAGACTTTATCTATCTAGGTACTCAGAACTGTGGTGGGCGACATCTAACATCCGAACGCGTCCCCTACCACACAGCACTGTACGCAGGGCAACTTCATTGCATGCCTATGACGACTTTCATTACCCACCGTGTCTGTTACATATATTACCCAGATATTCTTCCTACGTATAAAAGCCCTACGTTAGTTATATTATTATGGGTTACATTTATCATTAAAAATAAAAATCAGTAATTAATGTGCTTTATTATTTAACACCTAGTTTTATGCGAGTTGCTGAATTGTTCGAGTTACAGATATAGAGATACAAACATAGTTGAACTCTGGTGACCTTGCCCTTTGTTATATAATATTATTCCCTTTATCTTAGTTTGTTTCACTATGAATATGCAGTGTCATAATTAATTTTGAATACAAACAAGTTTTGGGATTGAAACAAAATTTTGTTTAACTATTTATTAAAGTTCAAGTTACTAAATATGTATGTTCGACAAAAACAAATGTATATTGCCTGTGACTGGTGTATATTAATAGAAAAAAAATGCACTATATTAAAAGACAATGTTAAATACTAGAAAACAATAATCAGTATTTTATTTTTTTCAAACTATACATTCATTCCATTATGCAATATTTTGACAGTATAACAAATAATAATAACCTCTCATTTGTTGTACAAGTGTTGTATATACAACTCGATACTATCGGCTAAGACCCACAAAAAACATTTTCCAAGTATGTTTATTTCATATCGTTCTTTATTAATTTTGAACCAAATACACACAGTTATCCATCTCATATCTTGATTATTTTAGAGGTTTTTCCCCAAAATACATGGACAAAATTATTCAGGTTTATTTAATTTTTTGGTGTTACGTGACAAATATTGAATTTGACATTCAAAGGATGAGGTTACTTTGCAATCTTGGGGACAAGTGAAGTGGACATTTGGACAATATCACAAAAGCTTAGATTGAAATACACCAGCAGCAAAAACAATATTGGTAGGATAACAACTATATATATATATTTGAGCAAAGACTCATGCAGGAAGTTTGTCCTGTTGAAACGCAGAACCATCCTCTGATTCAATGTGACAGTTGAATTCTGTCTCAAACGCTTTTAGAAAAAGTGGGGTGACCTCATCAATAGTTACATCTCTGCGTAGCTCTCTGGATAGCGAAGTAACACCTTTACCTACGATGCCGCATGGTACGATATGATCATACCAACTCAGATCGGTGTTACAATTCAAAGCTAAACCGTGTGAAGTAATGTAACGACTTGAATGGATACCTGTAAAAAAATATGAGAAAGTTGTCAGAGTGACTCACGGCAAGATGAGTTCAGTTGGGATGGAAATTGCATATTTGTTGGCAAAAAACATAAGTGTTAACCCTTCGGCCACCGAAGTCAACTTTTTTACCACTCACAAAATAAACTAGAACAGTGTTTCCCACATTTTGCCAAAGATTTTGGTAAAGGCCTGTAGCTAATAAGAAAGTATAACAATATAAATATGGGTAGGAAGAAGTTTGAGATTTAATTGTCTTTTTTTTGCCATAATATTTGACAATCACAAATTTTGCAGGTTTAATCAATACATCAACAGAGGGCGCTGTGCAGTTGTAAAATAATTGGGGGGGGGGAGATTGGCTCTCACATTTTTTTGGTGCGCACACAGTGACCATAAAGATTCTAATATTTTGTTAGACCTAATCATATTTTAATCTTTCTAAAGAGGGTGTTAAAAACAGCAGTCACGGCATCAAGTGAAATGCACTGCTGATACAACAGTAGTATTTATGGTATTTATAACTTGAAATCCACAAATCAATTTTCAATATTTTCTCCATTTTTCCTTTCTAGAGCAAGATCACATATAGGCCATCGCACTTGTTTACGTTCTACGCATGTGCGCAGTGACTGGTTGACAACCATCGATCATTAGTACTTGAAGATAAAATAACGACTTTGCTCCCAGCTGTCGTTATTAAATATACATGTATGTTTTCTGTTAATGATACAACATGTGGGCAGATGGTGAGACTGTGTTGATCAGTGAATGAAGTTTGTTATCACTGTTGAACATCCTGGTTGGCAAAAATGTAAACAATGATGTCACAGACAGCCTATACATGTGAGCTAATATCACTGCAGAGTTGAAATTAAATTTGAAAACAAACTTTTTTTTTATTTTATATAATGTAAACCACTTTTATATCACTAATTCAGGTAGCCAGGGAAAAAGCTAAAGAGTGACAATTTCACTGAGTTTAAATTTCAGGCATATTCAGTGGGTTTTAAATTCATGGTTTTATCATTTAGATAATGTGTTCTATGCTAAATTTTACATATTCACTGGGTTTTTATTTTAATAGCTCATTTTCCAGTCAGCAAAATATGCAAAATTAAAACCCAGTTAATAGTTATCCCTTTTACAGTATTGGAATAATGTAGACAAATATGTAATTGCATCATAAGAATGGACACAGAATCACATCAATTAACGGTGTGTATAATATGCTTTTAGAACTTCTTATGTCATCAGAAGTTGCAGAATATGCGTCATCCTTTGCGGTACACTATACTTGAATATGGCAGCTGTGCATTCATTAAAATAAATGTAGCTATTGTAGGATCTTGCGTTTGAAATGAGATGGTTTCACCTTTCCATAATTGAACATTGAATCAAATTGACAATATATGCAAGCTATTTTTTTTTAAATACATTTAAGTACAATTATACATTTTGATATTTCAAATAACAGAAACATGTGACCATATGAAGTGACATGATCTATTGTAAATACAGGTAAGTAATTAATTCAGTTGTTTGATAAGCGACTGTGATCGGATGTCATTCAAAGAAAGAAAAAAACATGAATTGTAAACAGATGGGCTACCATATACGAGGTAAGCTGAAGTATAGTGCATTGTCAATCATGTGTTATGGAACTTGAAGGGGTATGGAAGCACTTACAAACATGAAATGTACATGCACCCAAATTAGTAGCATTTTTTCATAACAATTTACATGCAGCTCATAGCCGTGGTTTCGCAGCGTCTTTGGTCCGGAAAGGTATTTTGTTTTGTCTGTCAATATACACATCATTGGTAGGGTCCAGCTGTATACAATGATGTGTATATAATTGACAGACGAAGCAAAATACATTTCCGGACCAAAAAACGTCACAAAACCACGACTAGTCATACATGAGAGCAAATACAAACAACTTAGCTCTGTTTTTGTTAGCCACCCTGAACGTTTGCCATTGCAAGTAAAATTAATAGGAATGTGAGCTTATACAGTGTAGAATACTGTAAATGCATTTATTATTTATGGGGTTCAAACTTCGTTATTTTCACTGATAAGTAAAACCCGCTAAATTGAAAACCATGTGAACATGTAAAATAATAATAGAACTCCCCAATTCCCTACACAATTGGCAAACAAAAAAAGTGAATATGTTCAAAATGTCAAAATAGTGAAATTGAAAGTCAGTGAAAAATAAATGCTTTTATAGTATACAACTTACCTATTGCTGCAACCTTATTATCTTTTATCCAGACACCAGTGTGTGGAGACGTGTTTGAAACCAATCCAAAACTAGTGCTCATTCTAATAACACATTTTTCTAACTGGCAAACGTACCACCGTATACTCTTCGTGTAACGAGCTAAATTCAGTATAGGATATGCCACCATCTGACCGGGTCCGTGAAATGTAATCAAACCACCACGATCAGTGCGGAAAAAATCGGCACCCAATTTTTTCAACCGTTCCTCTTCTGAGACAGGGTAATCTTTTGTCCGTATTCCAACTGTATAAACGGGATTGTGTTCACAAAGAAGTATAACGTCCTTTGGTTCTTGGGTGATGTCGTCGCCATTCAATACTGTTGTTTTGGTAGTACGGGAACGCATGTCCCGGAGAAATTTCAACCGTTTAAAAACCTCTTTTCGCTGCACACCCCAGGCTTCTGCATATCCTATTCTACCCAAATTTCGTACTAAGACCTTAGAATTTGATGCGGCGGACATGTTTGTTTGCAGGAAAATAAAAAAAGCTTCACAGTTTCAAAAAAAGTACACAACCGTGGATGGAGCCATTTTGAATGAAGCATGACGGGCAAAAAACAAAGTTAGAAACACAAATATTTTGGAGGGGGCGCTCTGTCAAGAACACATGGTACTGATAATGAAGTCTGCGTCACAGCAGTTTGGTAAAAAGATTTGAACATTTTTACCAACAAGGGAAGAAGCGTTACAGTAAGTCGACCAAATGTGGCAATTACCTGTAACGATACTATCAGGAATACAAGAGAAAAGACATGATTCAGAGATAATTATTTTGCTTTGGGGCCAATCTGATTAAATGACTGTATGTATGTACTACCGGTATTGTACTCGGTGTATTTCTTTATATTACATAGTACATTTATTTCTTTTTTATTATATTTTTTTTTGTTATTTTGTACTTATTACGTACACATTTCTTTCTATTATCATAGCTCCTGCCTTCTGGACTTTCGCGGTTTCCAACACCTTAAAAAAGTACTACCAGAAAATAAATTAAAATAATATAAAATCTATAATATATATATATATATATATATATATTTTAAAAATTGGAAAAGTGATAAAATAAGCTTAAACAAGTACCTTATTTTAATCAGATTGCTTTGAATCCTAAGAAAACAATATCACAACGTTCAAAACGAGTAATTAGGGATGAAATTAGGATTACTTATGGATGGTAATAATTCAAACCGAAATTGTACTTCGTAGTATATATAATTTATTCACTGGGATATCAAACATAGATTAATATTGTCGTATGATTACATAATGCTACCACCTGGTCCCAGTTTTGTGTAGTTTTTTTTGAAATGGAGATCGTGCTATGGGTAAATAAAAGCCGAAATGAAAGTGGTGTTCAAATATTTAACATTTTGTTAAAACTCATGTCAATGTGGCTACTTCAAAAATGTGATTAGTGTCAAGCTTTTTTTTTTAGCAAGGAACTTTCTTTCTTTTATGTGTTATTTTTTCAGATCTGCACCACACTCAGCGGCACCGTTTGTCCAGTAGCTTACCCTTTTTCACGTCGATGGGTGGTCTGTAATGTTGACTTTAAAATATTGTAAACTACAAGTTCCCATACATTACATTTAAAGGTCATCTGAATACAGCTGTCCGATGACTGAGTCTTGTGTTTCCAAACAAAAATCTTGATAAATGCGGCAGGTTATCATTTTCCATAAAATAAAACCCTCGTCTGAAAGCAAAACATGACAGTATGTGTTCGATCATAGTTCCTACGCTAATATACCTATTCATCAAAAGAATACTGCATTTGAGGTTGCAACCAAAACAATATTTTACGATTATAAATCACCATACCATATGTTTTTTAAATGCATTCTCAGACAAAAAAAAGACATCGACATTTAATTAAGGATATATATATATATACTTTGAATAAACCCCCCTATACAGATTAATTATAATAATGAATTTTTGAATTTCCCTCCAGTGAAAATTCTTGATCCGCCACTGCTCGATATAAAGAGGGTTGCACACTTAAAAGTCCTTTTATACTTTTCGAAATATATATATATATCAATGTTATTATTTTGTACCATTTTGAACATATTAATTTTCAAAAGTTTATGTAGCTCGACTTGTTTGCGGCTCCAAAACAAGTACCTGCATACGCGATAAATGTCGCTACGCAGTTTTCTGTACACTATTTTTGACTTAAAAAAATGAATTCAGGATGGAAAAAAGGGTGGTTATACTTATTAGCATATAATATCTTATCGTCTGAAAAACAATATCAATAACACTAATTAGCACAAAATCGGATAAAAACTGTTCAGATTCAGACTATTTAATCTTTAATGGTTTTACATGAAATAATGTTAATAAACGCATATTAATTCAGCTTTCTGAATATATAACCATCTTCGCTAGCCAAGGCCTGGGTCCACCGTTGAGTTCGTGACACCGTGCGGTTCGGACGGGTGCGTTATCATGATGTGTCCTGTTAATTCGGAGATAGAGATACTGGTCCTATCAGATACGGGGGGGGGGTTCTTGGCCGCCGATACAGTATAGGTGTGTAGCCCGCAGTGCTAAACCCAGAGCCCATTTTAGACCAACTTGAACCAAAAATGTATACCCCATCAACAGTTGTCCGGCATACCCCATAACGCAATGTATGATGGGAGACACTGAATGCCATGAAAGGTCGAAGGGCACACACACAGCATAATATATTTATGAAAATTGTTGGGAAAATCCGGAAAATGACACGAAATGCAAAAACAAGTTAAAATAGTGTTTGAAAAAATAAAAACCCATTTTCAGCCCCATGCCGATTTTACAATCGGTCATTCTTGTACAGGGGGTACAGACGAAAATCCCTGAAATTTGTGGATTCCATTTT